ATGCTGCTCAGACTGACCTCGAGCTCAAGAGGCACACGGCGCTGAAGGCGCTCGATCGTTTGTGCAGTGCGCAGCCTGACTTCGAGTCCGACACCAGGCAGGAGACGACGCAGGCCCACATCACCTTGCTGGGCTTTGCGCAGGCGGCGCAGTCCACGGATCTGCCCCAGCTGCAGGTAGCGAGCTTCATCGCCGCCACCATGGCGGACACGCTGGTGCAGCGGGACGCGGACAAGGCGAAGGCCTGCTTCGCAGACTGGGTCGCCGAGAACCACGCTCGAGGTACGGGGGCCCTCCACTCCTGGACCAAACCTCCGCAGGGCTGGCAAGCCAGGATCCCTGGTGCCCCAGGGAGCGAGCCTCGTACGCTTTCCCAGACGGTCCAAGCCCTGGTGAAGGAGTGGTCAGGGCACTGGGGAGTGGGGGCCCCCACGCCGCTGGGGAGCAAGCTCGCACTGGAGCCGCTCGAGTGGCCAGACGATCTCGGCGAGCGCCCTGCCCGACCGACGGTGAGCGAGATCAGGGAGGTCATCGCCACTTTCAGGGACTCCAGCGGCGCATCGTTCGACGCGCTGCGGCCGCGCGAGCTGGGCGTGCTCGACGACGCTGGGATCGAGGCGCTCATCGACCTGCTGGTCGCCATCGAGCTGCAGTGCGACTGGCCCGCGTTCATCACCAAGATGGCTTTCGTCCCCAAGTCGGACGGGGGGGCCCGCCCAATTGCGCTACTGGGGGCGGTGGTACGCATACACGGCAGGCTCCGCAGGCGCATCGCGAAGGGTTGGGAGGCGGCGCACGACAGAGACTACTGGTGGGCCAGCTCAGGCAAGAGCTGCGACAGGGCTGTGTGGCAGCAGCAGGCGCGGGCAGAATGGGTCCAGATGATGGGCGAGCTGAACAGAGGTCAGGACTGGGCCTCGGCGTCAATCATGATGGACCTGTGGAAGGCTTTCGAGCAGATCCTGCGCGGCAACCTGCAGAAGGCGTGCATGCAGCACGACTTCCCGCTGTGGCTGGCCAAGCTGCAAATCTCCCTCTCTCGACTTCCCAGGGTCATCAGCCTGGAGTCGTGCTGCTCTGATGAGCTTGTGGTTACGCAGACGGTGTTGGCTGGGGATGCCTTTGCCACCACGCTCATGAAGGCCATGCTTCTGACGCCGCTCGACGAGATGAAGGCGGCCTGTCCCACGGTGGTACCTGCTGTCGTGGTCGACGACGTGGTGCTGCAGCGCTGGGGTGGCCTGAAGCGAGTAGCCAAGGACCTCACCATGGCAGCTAAGGCAGTGGCGAAGGGGTTGGCGAAGGTCCACCTGTCCATTGCCGCCAAGAAGTCGCGCGTGCTGGCCAGCAGCAGAGGCTTTAGGGCCACTCTCCAGGAGCACCTGGGTTCGACCACTGGGGCCATCGGAGTCAGAGAAGTGCGCAACCTCGGCATCGGCTACACGGAGGGCGGCAGGCGGTCCAGCGTCGTCAGGCGGCACCGCATCACGCAGAACAGACTCCGCCTTCCTCGGATCCGACGGCTCCTGGGTCTACGCAGAGGAAGGGCCACAGCGGCTAAGATCGTATCGACTGGGCTGGCTCCCAGTCTCTTCTACGGGATCAACTGCACGGGGCTCAACAATACGGAGCTGCAGCAGGCGCGTAGCATTGTGCGGCACGCCATTGAGCCGAACCCCCATGGGAAGTCGCTCGCGGCGTGCTTGCTGGTAGGGGGCTCTCCCACCATCGACCCTCTCTTTGCAGCGACACTGGCGCCCTGCTTCACGCTGGCGCGCGCTGTGTGGGAGAAGTGGGTGCCGCTGGCGCAGCTCAGGCCCGCATTCGAGTGGGCAGCGAGGTCAGCTACATGCTGGGCCGACGTACGCGGGCCGCTTGGTGCAGTGGTCATGTCCCTGAGGAGGATCGGCTACGACCCCAAGGCGCTTGATTACACCGTCAGGCCGAATGGTACGATCATCAACCTACTAGAGGTCTCCCCGTGGTATGCCAAGCAGTGCATCACGTTGGACGTGAGGGCGCGGCAGATGAAGCTCTTGGCGGACGGCACGCACGCTGATGTTCGCAGTGGCATCTTCGTCTCGCAGCTGCGGCGGTGGTTTGCCAAGGGTGTTGGAAGTTCCAGCCTGGCCAAAGGCTGGGAGCCTCTCAACTGCAGCCAGCGAGGATACGCGCGCTCGGTCTTCGTCCTCGGGCAGTGGCCGAACAGCAGGAGGTACCACGGTGCTCCGCGGCTCTCGCATACGCCGTGTTGCCAGCTGCATCCAGAGCAGCCTGGCACTCTCTGGCGCAGGCACACCGCCTGCCAGGACAGCTGGCCGAGTTTGACGCTGCCAGCCGAGATCAGCAAGCTCGTTCCCTTCAGCACCAACGTGACCATCACCACGCTCCTGGAGAGGCTGGTCCTGCCCGAGCCCCTACACGAGCGGCGCCCGCCTGGAGACGACCTCCTCGCGCACGTGCAGTGGCTCAAGGGCGGCGACGGATTCCCGTTTTCCAACACCACGGTCTACTCCGACGGAGCGGTCTACGACGCTGGGACTTCGCTGGCGGTGGGGGCTTGCGGCGTGGTGCAGCTGCCCGACGGCGGTGACGACTGGGACCCTGGACCTGAGTCGGCCGTTAAGGCGCTAGGCGCTCCCTTGCCTGGGCCTTTGCAGTCCATCGACGGGGCCGAGCTCTTGGGGTGCCTGGTGCTCCTCCGCCACAGCCTGCCCCCGATCACCGCGGCCTTCGACGCCACGTACGCGACAAAAGGTTTGACGGCGAGGGGCGAAGCCAGCACCACCAAGGCGACTTCTGCCTGGGGGTGCATCTGGAGGCGAGTCCGGGCAGCACTTGACGACTTCGGCGGCATTGGGCCCCAGGGGCTCGCGATCCAGAAGGTGAAGGCGCATGCCTCTGCGGCCATGGTTCAGAAAGGGGACATCTCTGCCCGCGACAGGCGAGGCAACTGGGAGGCCGACCGTGCTGCAAAGGCAGTCGCAGCCGCAGCGAGGGCACCACTCGAGCTGCGTGAAGCCTGGCAGCGGCGGTCTCTTACGCTGGATGGGGTCGTGCACTGGGTCGCGCGCGCTGGGTGTGAGGCAGCTGACCGGAAGCTGGACATCGACCCGAACTGCAAGCCGATTCACAAAGGGCCGCCTCTCAGCGTCACCAGGCACGACGCGGTCAAGGTGGCTGGCGACGGCGTGCACTGCAGGGCCTGCCTCAAGACGGCCTACACCGACCTCAGCATCAAGAGGCTGCTCAAGGACCCATGCGTGGGCAAGCCTTTCGCGCCCGTGGCAAGCGGCGCGAGGCGCAAGCCAGCTGCTTCGGCCCTGGCGTCTGCAGGCGCGGTGGCGGTGGCGCTGGCAGCGGCGCACAGGCTTGGGCAGGCTGCACGCAGGACGACGAGATCGTGGCGTCCTCCGAGCCAGAGACCCAGCAGATGGCGCCGAGCCCCTTCGCTGCCGCTCGAGAGCCTCCAGCTGAGGCAGCAGCGGCTGGAGGCAGCAGCAGCAGTAGCAGCGGCCAGGACCTCTCGCCTGGCGCTGCCCTCATGCGCGCTGCGGGCGCCGCCCGCGCCGCGCGCGAGCAGCCGGCTGAGGCTACAGCGGCTGGCGGGGGCAGCAGCAGCAGCAGCAGCAGCGGCCAGGACCTCTCACCTGGAGCTGCCCTCATGCGTGCGGTGGCCGCCGCCCGCGCAGCACGCGAGGCTCAGGGCGCCCTGCGCGCGGGCCCCGCTGACGGCCGGGCGGACGCGGGCCCCGCGGTCGCCCAGGGCGCCATGGAGGTGGACGAGCCTGGGGGATCAGGCACCCAGGATGCCGAAGGAGTGGGCCACGCGCTCCTCAGCATCAACGGCTTCAGGATCTGCACGCGCTGCAAGGCGTACGCCAAGGAGATCAATGGCAACCACAGGACGCTCGGCAAGACGTGCGTCGCAGCCTCAGGCAATGCGCTGCGCCTGCGCAACCTGAAGGTCGCTAACATCAGGGCGGGCTTGGACCCAAAGACGGGCAAGCGCCTGAGTGATTGAGTTGGGGAGTGCCTTCGGTGGTCTGAGCCCTTTCAGGCTCGGCACGGGGTGGATGGTGGCTCGTGCGGCTGCCTCACCTGACGGCGCATGCCCATGCAACGCGGCGTGCGCGCTGCCTTCGGAGGCCGCTGTTTGCGGGCCTCCTCGCCGCATTGTGCGGCTCGCCATTTTGGCGGCAGGATCGGTTCGTGCTGCACGGGCTGCCTGGTCATTTTAAAAAAGGCTCTAATCCGCAATGTTTTATGTACGTCTGTTGCTATAGATTGCGCCTCTCCTGGGGCACGAAACCTTCCTAGGAGGTCCCAGGAGGTCCCAAGAGGCTCCTGGAGACCCCAGGAAGCCCCAGCAGGTTTCAGGAGGCCCCAGGAGGCCCCAGGCTCATGCACAGAGACGCGCTCGTACTACTGAGGCTCATTCACACTCCAAATCATTCGCAGTTAGATTGATGTCCAGACCGTCACAACTGAAGCCCGCTAATATTCGAAAGCTCTTGCGCCTAGACATTCACGGCGGACAGGTCCATGCGAGTAGATGCACATATGGGGAGCTCCACGCAGTGAATAATTCTTGTCATTGTGCGCGCAGGGAGCAATACAAAACAATAAACATGTCAGGTCAGGGGCGATCGAAGTACTGCAGCACGTTGGTTGGCGCGGCAGGCACCTCACGCAACAGCGCACTATCGTAGGTCGGCGGTCCCCAGTTAATAGTGGTGTTGGAAAGCAGACCCCCCATTTTGTGGGCGGGATGGGAATCATGCCCACTTATCTGAGCGAGGGGTTCTTGTTCCTCGACGCGATTCGGGCCTCGTCGATGCCAGTCCATCGTCGCTTCAAAATGGCGCAGAGCTGCGGTCGATGAGGACGATGATGAGTAGGATGAGCAGGATGAGGTAAAGGAGCAGGAGGAGGGTGAGGAGGATGGGTGTTTTTCTTCGAAGCCTGGTGGTGGATTATACTGGGGTTATACTGACCAG